TTCAGTGGTAATACTACCTATTGAAAAAGGCACAAGACTCAAGAGGCATTGAATTTACATTTCTAATTCCACAGAGTAAAAATGTCCATAAACCATAATGCCTATAAAAATAATCCAGAAACCATATATGGAATTCATGGTAATTGAGAACATTTTTCCTCCAGTTTTTGGGAAGGCAAAGTTTACTAGAAAAATAACTGAAGGTGCAATTTTTATTCACATAAGGGTAAAAATATTTAATAAAGTTTAAACTGTTCTAGGTGTATTCTTTAGCACATAAAACATGAGCGCACATTCATATATATGACATATCATAAGATTATTTAAAATAATTCTTATTTTTATAATACAGCAACTCCAGGAACCCATATACCTGGCAATACTTTATTTCTAGGTGGCAAGTGTATGCTATTATAGGTACTGAAAATAATAAACTTATGCCTATATGGTATTTTCTTTCTACATATTATTTCTAACTTTCTGCCTATTCGTTAATATTACCAAAATTTCTGCACACAATTTTTTAAAAGCAATCAATATTCAAAGCTGAGAGCCATTGTTAATTTTTAAAAATAATTATATAATTACATATATTCAAATGCTTAAAGGCGTTAGTGAAATTGGTAATCCATATTCCATGAGGATCTTCTCCAAAACCACCATTTCCTGTTGCTTTTCTAGCAGCAGGTCAGAAGGACCACCTGGAACCTGTGGGTGTATCTCATACTTTTTCAATAAAAATGGTTATAATGTTAGAAAAACTTATCACCACCCAATAAGTAAACTAAATTATCTGTCTGTAGGTATAGAATCTTGCTAGCAAGGGGAAAGTGTGACATACCTTTTGAATTTCATACCATGAGTGTATAATACCTCTTTGGAATTTTTGTGAATTTTTAAAGGATTTTAATGCATTTGATTAGTTCTCCCTTACTAGTATATTCTGTGTCATTGGATTTGATAATAATGTATTAATTTTCATCTTACCGTTACGGTGGATACGAATTTGACCAAAGCTTCTGTTAGCTGTCACTGTCTTTTGCTAGAAATTTCTCTTCTAGATCATTAAATATACACACATTCCCTCAAAAGTAAGTTTTAAGAATATTCTATAAGTACTATATTACTATATTTTATAAACAGCAATGAGGAGGGCAAAGAAAAAAAATCAAGGTAACACTTTTTATTTCCATGCAGGAAGATAGAAAAATAGGTAAAATATGGTTATTATAACATAGTCACATAGTTATAAATTATAAAGCAAAAAAAAAAATCAGAGCAGAAAAGGGAAATATAGTATCAAGATGGAGCATGGAAAGTTTGCATGGACCTCAGTTCATCCCTCAGTTCTGAGCTTTAGTTGCATACAGCAAAATGTCCATGATAAATTGAATTGACTAGATACTCAATATGACCAAAATGAGTATATATCATCTCCATCAACTCTCTTCTGCCACTACCGCTGAGTTACTCAAACCAGAAACGTATGAGTCATCCCTGAATCCTGCTCAAACCTCACTCTGCATGTCCCATCTGTCACAGAGGTTAGCAACTTCTCCCACGTGGCTGTAAGTCACTTCTATTCATTGTCATTGTCACTATCCTAATTCAAACCAACATCATCTCTCACCAAGTCCTTGCAAATTCTTCCTGACACATCCCTTACAGCCATTACTGTCTTCTTCCAGTGTGATTAAAACTCATCTGTCACACTTCTGCTTCAACCCATCCATAGTCCCAGTCATCCTTCCCAGCTCTTAACTGCTGGGAAGGAGAACTAAGAATCAATAGCCATTTTTACCCCAGTCCAATACACAACAATCTTACTGTTCTTCTCATTCTTCATTTATGCCATCCCTTCTTGACCCAGGAAATTTATTCATATAAGTTCCTCTGCCTGGAATATTCTTTTCTGTATCAGGTTGGCCTATCTTTCAAATTCCAACTGAATTTCTTCAGGCAAGTTTTACCTACAACCTCAGAATGAGCTACATGCATCAATTATGGGTTCCACAATCTCCTATCTTTTTCACTTCACACGTTACATTTACACCTATTTGTATGCTAGTTTTCTCTGCAACAACAGAGTGCAAACTTCAAGATAAGGGTCATGTCTGACTTTTCAGTTCATTATCCCTAGTGCTTGTTCCATGACAAAGAGTAAGCGCTGTATATATACATTACATATATGTATACACGAATGAATATTATGAAGAAGAATGGCAGATGGTTGATGACTGTTTTTAATTTGCATTTATTTATACAGTATACAATCAGATTACATTGAAGCATGATTTTTTTTTTTTTTTTTTTGGTACCAGGGATTGAGATGCTTATCCATTGAGCCACATCCTTTTTTGTTTTTTATTCTAAGTCAGGATCTCACTAAGTTGTTTAGGCCTCACTAAATTGGGGAGGCTAGCCTCAAACTTGAGATCTTCCTGTCTCAGTCTACTGAGTTGCTGGAATTACAGGTGTTTGCACCACACCTAGCTGAAGCATGATATCCTAATAGTTCTTAAATTTTGCCTACTCATTGTACATTTGGGATTATGTTCTCCAGCAACTGACACATTCTCAGATTCCATGTGGTTTTTCCCATTTCACATCTTCCTAGCAACCATATCAGAAATGTCTTCAAGAGTGATGTCCAGAGTTAATTTGCCATACAATAAAGACCCATTTTAGGCATCAGTAAATTTAAGGTTTATAACAAGAAGGAATGCAATTTTAATTATGTTAGTTACAGCTACTGATAAGCAAAGTCCCTGTGATGTTACTACCTAGACAAAACCAATATTCTTTCATCTTTTTTAATTTTAATTGCCGCTTGAGTCTTTAATACTAATCTTCTTTTGAACCTTACATTTATTTTCTGGAAATGTCTGCTCCTCCCTTTCTTCTCAGACAAAGCTAAAACTGTACCAAATTTTATGTCCTCTCAGTCTTTTTAAATAAATGACACTAAGGCTTCTTTTGCTTTCTTTCCATTCATTATATCTTGTTCATTAAAAGATTGCTATTATTTGTTAATAACATAGCAAAGTTTACACATATTACATCATTTTACAACAGCCCAGTAGAGAAGGTACTCTTGTTCCGGGAAAGAAAACTGAGGCTTGGAGAGGTTAGATCACTTGTCTAAGTATTTGAGCTAGACTTTGAAGGGAAGTTTTACCTCCTTTTTTTTTTTTTTTTTTTTTTGTGGTGCTGGGCATTAAACCCAGGGCCTTGTGCATGCAAGGCAGGCACCATACCAACTGAGCTATATCCCCAGCCCTTACCTGCATTCTTTATGCTCAATTTGTACTGCACTATTTTACTTGTTGAGATGCAAACTCCTTTTATTTAACTCTTCTCCCTTAATTTTAGGTACACAGTAGGTCTTCAACACATACTTTAAGTCATTATCATTGTTTTAGATGGGTGAGAGTATTTGTGGCTTCTTTTGTTTACTAAATTTTGTTCTAAGAACCTAAACTGAAGTGGGCCTAGTAGAAGGGGCTGGAATATAGGAAATACAAAGTCAATGATGGTTAAAGGAAAGCCCCGTTTTGAGATATTTTCTGGGAGAGCGGAACTTTATAAGGATTCTTCATTTGGCTGCCTGAGTATCAAATTATTTCGTGAATTCTCTGGTTACAAATGCTGATAAGCCAAATGTTTTTTTTTTTTCCCCTCTTCATTATAGTTAGCTTGTGTAGAAGATTCCCACTGAATGCAGTACTGGGGCGGGGAGCAGGGGGAGCACGAAAGTCAGCTATTTGCCTTGGCCATACGTCTGTAACTGGCAACTCAAGTGCATACAGATAGGAGACTTACAGATTGTCTTCTCTTCTTCTCCCTCCCACTTTCCCTCCAGTGTTTTGCTTTGGATGGCCTCCAGCAAGTTTCGGAGCCTGATAGAGCGTCACGCTGCAGATGTGCGCCGTGTCTGTAGTTGTTTTAAAGTGCTGTTTTACCCGTCTCTAACCTAGAAACTTCCTTAGTCGGTGAAAGCTCACAGCTCCCCCTTCCTGTTCGTCCTCCCTCCCAGGGAAACCCCTAGCCTTCACAGATTCCTTGGAGTCTTCTCCCTAAACTGCCTGCAAATGACCCTTTAACCCAGGTGGGGGAGGTGAAAAGTTATCAGGAGGTGTGTGGGTCATGACTGCATCCTGGACCGAATGGACCCCTAGTGCTGCAAAGTCCTGGAGCCTGCAGCTCGACCCAGCCGCCTGCAGAGGACCCTGCAGCCCAGGGACCCACCCTCTACAGGGTCCTGCCGGTACCGGACTGGGCACCATCGTCCCCCAGCTCCTCTCACCGCCACCCACCACAGGCTCAAGAGGTCAGCGGGCCGCAGCGAAGATTCGGCAGCAGTCAGGGATCTGGACTTGAAGTTGTCTAGTCTGGTGGTTAGGAACGCTGTTTCCGAAGCGCAATTTTGGTTTTACCTCTCTCCACCTGAGTGACCTTGGGCAAGTTCCAAAGCTTCAGTGCACCAATTTCTAAATCCATAAAATGGGGGCACTGAAGTGATAACTAAAAGCTAGGTTGTTGTTAAGAGTTAATATAGCATTTCCTAGCACGTAGTAGGGGCTCTTATTTAATGGTGACAATGTTTAGTAGTAGCAGTAGTAGTTAGAGACTAAGCACTGTGGTCCAAAATGCAGGTTTGAGCTCTGGCTCTTCCTGTTCTTCGCTAGGGAGTGGGGGGCCAAGGGAGCGGAAGCAAGTGCCCTATCCCTTTACCCCCTTCCAAGGTAAACTCGGGATTACTCAGAGCCTGTAGTCGCGGTCTAGGGGCTCCTTCAGACGGCCCTGACATCTGTGCCGTGTGGGTCCCTTTCTCTGGAGCGGAGGAAATATTTCTTTAGTGAATTGAGCACCTTTTCCCTCCCTCACTCTCCATCTTAGTCTTGCTGAATTCTCTGGGTCCCAGTAGCCGCGGTGAACCTACTGAGGCCTCAGGCAGGAGGGAAGAGGCAGCCTCGGGGTGTGCAATTCCCTCCGGGCTGGGGAAGGGAAGAAAGGAAGAGGTGGTGCGGACACCCAGGGAGAACCCGCTGCCTCGGGCGGTCGCGAGCCTTTTCTTCATTTTGCCTGCCTTCTAAGGACCGCTGGAGCTTGTTGGATCTAGGGGCGCAATCCTTGAACGGCCGGGTGCCCAGCTCCCCAAACCGGACCTAGGGGTTGGAAGCGCCCGCTCCGCGTGCCGCCGGAGTGGGCGGTGAGCGCGGGCCCGCGGGGTAAGGAGGGCGCGCGGCGGTGGGGAGTGTGCCTGCACGTGTGTGCGCGCGCCGGTGCGCGTGCGTTTGAGGGAGTGTGGGGGGCCTGGCCAAGGCGCGTCCCACCCTGCCGCCCACCTGCCCTTCCAGCACCGTGCCGCTGCCCACACCCTCTCGTCCCCCTCACCTGTGCTAGAGCACTGACCACCCCCCTGCCACCACCCCCTGCAGCCCTCATGCCCCCATGCCCCACCTCCCCCTCATCCAAACCCCACCCTGCCCACTAAGAGTTTCCCAATGCAGATTCAGACCAAAACCTGGAGAGACAGCCTTGCCTTCCTGCTCCCCTCGCCCCCTCCCCCTCCTGCTATAAATAACCAGTACTAGCGGGTCAGGAACGTCACACCGCCAGAAACCAGGACCCAGAGGTTTTCTTCTCTGGGAATAGGGGGCAAAGGGTGAGGAGGAAGAGAAAGGAATCGCTCGTGAGTAGTGAAGAAAAGATTGCTCTTTGACTCCTGAGACAGACTGAGCATCATTTTATTCTTTTTGTTCTTTCCTTTTTTTTTTTTTCCTTTTAAAAAATGTTTTCCATTTCTTTCTTCTTCTCCGCACTCTCCCCACCCGCCCCAAATCCATGGGGTTGCTCCACACTCCTCCAATTGGTTTCTTTCCTCCCTCCCTCCGCCCCTGATTCCCTTTCCCACCCACCCCACCCCCACTGAACGTCCCCACCCCCACCCTAGTCTTGCCCCAGGCAGGGGATGCTATTCACCCAGGGAAATAAAGTTCAAACTCCTGGTCCCTGTCAGCCTGCTCAGACCCGAAGTGGGCTTCCGGGCACCCATTTTCCATTCGCACCCGACACCTGCTCTCCTCTAAATTCTTAATCTGGTTTTGCATATTTAAGAGGACACACACACACACACACACGCAGGCACACACCGAAAACCCACAACCCGCGAGGTGCAAAACTGCCTCCTGCAACTACTGAAACTTACCAGACGCTGTAGTTGTTTTTGTTTTAACGAAAGATCAACAAAGATTTTACTCTGGAATGATCCTGTGGGGTGACTTTCTATATAATTCAAGTATGTATATATTATACATGTATATGCTTTTCCTTTTTCCCCTTTAATTTTTTTTTTTTTAAACAAGGAAATCTGCTCCGTCCGCGGCAGCCGCTGCTGCCCCTTTGATGTTTTGGTACGCCGTGCGCATGCGCCTCACATTAGAATTACTGCACTGGGCAGACTAAGTTGGATCTCCTCTCTTCACTGAAACCCTCAATCCCATCAAAAACTAAAGGGATGTGGAGAGTCCGGAAAAGGGGCTACTTTGGGATTTGGTCATTCCCCTTAATAATCGCCGCTGTCTGTGCGCAGAGGTAAGTGTCTTTTTTCCTTTCTTACTTGGCGGAATTCTGTCTGCATACCTCTGTGAGAAGGATGCTGGAGACGATGTGCTTGCTTCCTCATTGATGCCTGTTTATTGTCATTTCTTTCTTTAGTGTCAATGACCCTAGTAATATGTCGCTGGTTAAAGAGACGGTGGATAGACTGCTGAAAGGCTATGACATTCGTCTGAGACCAGATTTTGGAGGTAATGGGGTTGCCTTGCAAATAAGAAACAGCCCAGCTACAGCTGAAGCTGCCTTTTGAGCTTTGTGTGCACTCTCTTCCTCCCCCTTAGTTGAGGGTACATGTGGCACACTGAATGAATCTCTGTTTTCCCATATTGAAAAAGGGATCCAAACTTATGCTGATGTGTTACTATCCAACACTTGAGAGGTCTTTCAGAGACCCTCTTAGTGTGGACTCAGATTTGGTGACTTGCTTTCCTTTGCCTTCACTGTTACAAATCCTTTGCTTTACTGTCTTTGCTTCCGTGAGAGACAAGCCTGTTAAGTTTGGTTAATGGTGTGCCCAGAGAATCTGTCTTGCAGAAGGCCATCGTGAACATTTTTTGAGAACAAGATGTGCAGGCAATTGGTTGAGAGGTGGCATTAACCCCCTGTGCCCGCCTACTTTGGAATAGTTCCTTTGGCCACGGTTTAAAGTGGCTCATCTGAATATCATCCACTCCTCCAAGCTTCAGCAGCCTGAGGGAGAAGGGGAGGGGCTGTAGGGTAAGAGGGTAGGGGGGCAGCTGGGGTAGGTAGAAAATGACATCTGTCCCTGCAGTCCTGAATATAGTGATATACTCATTTAATTTTGCTTTAGACTTTTCTGGCATTCACAGAGTTAAAACCTACACACCTAGGGGGTGTGGGAAAGAATGAGGAGGAGGGGGTTTAGATGCAATATATAAAAATCCTCTCCTCCAGAATGATTCTTAAGCTTCTCTAAGTTGTGTGCATTCACAAGCTGAGACATCTGCACATGTAGACAGAGCTGGAATCCCTCAACCACCAGCACATGTGTGTGTGTGCATATTCAGTGGAGCAGTTCCTAGAGGAGTGGGTGTCTACCACTGTTTTTGCAAAGCAGCAGGGAAGTGAAGCATTTGAGGATTAGCAGTGGAGAGGGGTTTGAGGCAGGGTGTCCCATGCCTAAAGACAACTCTTGTTAAGAATGAATAAGTTCTCAGAAATCACATGGCTGACCATGTTGGTTTGCAGGTCCCCCTGTGGCTGTGGGAATGAACATTGACATTGCCAGCATTGACATGGTTTCTGAAGTCAATATGGTGAGTATGGAGGTTTATGGCTATGTCTCTGCAGACCTTTGATTAGGAATAGGGTTAAGGAGGGAGCTGGCCATTGACGGTGGGATATGTGGGGATATATGTGTGAGGAGGAGGAAAGGGCATGACATTTTGCCTTGAAATTCACTGTGTTTGAGGTTACAGAGCTGGCTCATTTTGGTCCCTAATATTTTTCTTTTCAACCTGATTCTGACACTTGGGTCTTGGTGTAGAATGAGAAAAGTGGATCACATGTTTGTTCCTGAAAGGCAACCACATGCTGGAGACCCCTGCAGATGTGACCTTTCTTAAGGCTCCATAGAAAATTCAGTTCATGAGTGTTTTTTTGTTTTTTGGTTTTTTTTTTGGATGGGGTTAGCTTAAGAGAAAAGGAAAGAGGTAGTTTTTATTATCATTTAACAGAAAAATTATATGACAGAGAGTATAACCTACAAACTAAATTATGGTACAAAGAGGCTAAACAAAAAAATCTTGGATACTGAGGCCCACTTGTTGCTTTTGGAAATCGCCTATTTATAGTTAATGACAACCCCATTCCCCATTCCCCATGGCTTGCCACAGGCTTTAACCCTTTTAGTTCATGAAAACAAAAGTAAAAATTATCACTCAGTTCCTAAAAGGCTGGCTAAGTTCCACGTGTCATCTCTGGTCACTTCTGGAGTGTTATTCATCTTGTGCCCTAAGCTTGTATGATTTATTGATAGCTTCTTTAGTGGTTACCTTCCTGGACTTGGGGCTAAGAGAAAAAGCCTCTGTGTTCCCCAAACGGGAAGCACTTGTGGGGGGGTTTGCTTCATGCAGGAGCGCCCCCTGCTGCCCATGTTGGAGCACTGCAGACATGCATGACAGACAAGTGTCCCAGATTCCTCCACTGAGGTGGGGCATTTCTCTGGTAACTTTTCTAATTTAAAGTTTTTTTCCTTTGGAAAAGCCCATATAGAAGGGCCACACTTTGATGTAAATCTCCAGAGTTACTTTTGACAGGGCACACAGTACATTTAAGAATATTGTGCATCCTTCTGTCCAGAAGGTGGATGGATAACTAAAGAAAGGGGGTGCAGTGTGTAAGATTTTATGCAGACACTTCTTGGCCAGCCATCAGGAACTGAGAATTAGGACTCTTATTTATTAACTCAAGATGGTCAATGTACCAAACTGCTAAGTTTTGAACAGGCTCTCAACATCACACACGTTTCCATATTCCCTGAATTTAAACAGAAACCTGAAATAACCAGTACAACCCTTATCCATTGCCCCCAAATAAGTGATAGTGTGTGTGGGATTATGTCAAGGTTCTGAAGAATCTTATGAAAACTTAAGGGAATGTTCAACCATTTCAGCAATGTTGTAGTGGCATGAATCTTTTTGTGTTCTAATTATTGGGAAAGATTTTATGATATAGATGTCAATGCTGACCAAAGACAGTATTGGATGTGCAGAACCACACATTATGAGATTCCCTGTGTGGACAGACAGTATTTGTTAAGTGAATTTCTCAGCTATACAGATAATCACTTTGGTGGGAATCAAGATTTTTCATCAGTTTATATTCTGAGTTTCAACATAAAAATAGGAAATGGTCCCAATGTGGGTATCTCCTAAGTTCCAGGTACTTGATTCTAGATTGTGTTGCTGAAAACAAAGTTATATATAAAGTCATGTGTGATTCTGTGTGTCCTACATGTGGTTGGATTAGACACTTTTGTATGTTTTTTTTTTAATTTATGCTGTTTTCCTGCTCTCAAATTATATTTTAATGCTTGCTTCCTTAGAGGATTACTAAAATGGTGTTTTGTGGGAAAATAGTAGGAAGAATCTAGAATCCAAAGAGACAATCATGAGATTACTAGAGTTTATTGCAATAGGTTAACTAAGCACTTAAGTGAGTTCCATAGAAAGTTGTTTGAGTGGTAGAGTTTTTGTTTTCTTTTCCTTTCTTAAGTTGTATTCATTTTTTTCCCTTTATGAAACATTTTGGAGAGATATCTCAGGTGGACTCCATGCCAAGACCTGCAAGTCAAAATATAGATCCAGCTAAGGAGAGGTGTCATCATTTAAAGCTATTTACTGTGGCTGAAAATCATGGGATGTTGAAAGTACAGAAATAAATGTCAAGTTGTAAATGGGACAGCATTGCAGCATTACTGATTAGAACCCAGTGTTAAAAGTTTGAAGCCAAGGCTGGGGTTGTGGCTCAGTGGTGGAGCACTTGCCCTACATGTGTGAGGCACTGGGTTCAATTCTCAGCACCACATATAAATAAATGAATAAAATAAAGATCCATCAACAACTAAAAAAAAATATTTTTAAAAAAAGTTTGTAGCCAGATTCCTTTCTTAGCCTAATGCTAACACTGGTGGATATGTTCAACTACATTGTAGCTTGTTGAAAAATGAGCATCATTTTAGCTAGCAACCCAAAGAATCTAAAACTAATCCTCCAAAGAATTTTTTTTGTTATATCTGTTGCTGCTACTTTATTTTTAAATGTGGTTGCTTGCTTCAAAGCAACAGATGAGTAATTCCATCACTAGTGCTTAAGATGATGTTTGTAGTATACTGTCCTTTGAACACATTTCTAAAAGGGTTAGGATCTTTTGGTTAGTTCCATTAATTATTTAAGTTAAATTTCAGTTGATTAATATGAATATCTCTCCCTCATTATCCTTTTTGGACTGCAGCCTCTGGTAATTGTAACTTTCTTATTCTAGCACATCTTTCTTTGAAGAATGCTGGCACTAGACCATTTTAAATTGCTGTTGACTCATTTGTGTTGAAGAAAAAATGTCCATCCATGTCAATGTGCTGCTTCTTATAAGTGACAATGATGAAAAGACCCTGAACTGAATCAGGAGTCTTGGATGGTAGTTGTACTGCTGGTGCTTAGTCATACTGAGGATAGTCACAGCCTGAGTGACCTCAGTTTCCTTCTTGTTAAGGGAAAGTAATAGTCCCATTTTACCCATCTCAGGTGACCACCAAAATTAATAAAATATATATGTGAATGTATTGGTGTTCTATGAACAGAAATTAATACCATCCTAGTACCCAAGAGACAAAGTCTCTAGCACTCCTGCTGCTGTCCTACATGTCTTTGCATTGATAATCTACCTCTTTAGGTCTTAGTTTGCTCATCTTTGGAACGAGAAGGAGCATGTTCAGTTCACTTCCAACTCAGAGTTACATGTGTCTCCTGCTTGGTTTGTAATAGCAACTCTACTGTGTATAGAGAAGTTTCAGGAAAACTTGGGGATTTATAAAAGCATTAGGAAAATGCAGAACTCCTAAATGGCTTAGAGTTGAGAGTTCTAAGGAAGGTGGCAATTGTATCTAAGCCATGAGACTCAGATGACTGTCACCCCATGAAAGATCTTTGGAGGAATGAGATTTCAATTAGAATGCTCCTGAGCAGGAAGCTTGGCTTTGGAATGAAATATTTTTAGATGTTTTGGTTAAATTGGCAGGAATCTTTTTGTTAAGATTCTTTGATGAAAAGTGCATTTTAAGATTCAAATTTGGCTCTGAGGATTATGGACCGAAATAGCTTTCTCTTCATTTAAAGCAGATTCTTCTCCATCTTGAAGCAACACATTTGCCAACCAACGAGTGAAGCAATATTTCACTTTTGAGGAAAGAGTTCTAGTAAACACATACACAAATTACCTTTTTATGGAATGGCAAATGGAGAAAAGTATCGCTTTTTTTAAAAAAAAAAAACAGATGTTTCTTGCATCACCAGCTGCACAATTTAAAATTCCATTCTACCAATACTTATTTAGCTGCCACTATGAGCCCAGCATGTGTAAGACCTCAGGGACAGAGTAGTGAACAAGACCAGGCTGTCCCTTGACCTCATGAAACTTAACATCTAGGTGTTCTCTAATCTTAAATTCCACATCAGGTGCTTACTGTGCTTCTGCCTAGCTTAATTCTGATCTTTTCTCTAAACCTTTTCTGCCCAGAAGGTACACAAGTGCGTGCACAGTGGTCTGTCTCCTATCAGTTCCTTTGTTCCTTGTTCATTTCTCCAGTCATTTCATGCTTGGTATCTCAACTTGCCTTATATTTTAGATAATTGTTCTATCTTATTCTGTCATGTTTATAATTTATTTCTAGACAAGGCACTGTCTCCTCCAGTGGGTGAATGCCACAAATAATGAATGAGGAATTCACTTTCTTAGCAGGAATTCATGGTTGGTCACCACACACTGTACTATCTATGTGGATAAATAGAGCAGAGAATCATAGCACTCAGCTTTGAGACATTCACCATTTAAAATATCAGCATAGGATCACAAGTGCTTTGAAGAGAAAATCGACAGAACATAGTGGGCATATAGAATACTGATGCACTGCATAGAAATTAGCTTGAGGAAAAAAAGGGTTAGAGATCTGTGGACAAATGTTCCAAGCAGAGGGAAAAATGCATGTGACACAGGAAAAATAAATGGTATTAGGGATTTGAAAATAGGTTTAAATGGAGTAAAGGGGTGAGAAAACTGGCGTCAAAGCCACACGGAGTGGCCGATTTTGTGTCTTCCCAGTAGTACAACTTTTTTCCCCAAAGGCAGTAGGGACCCATGAAGGGGTGTCCTTAAGAGAATGACATGAGCTGATTCACACCTCTAAGAGGTGATGTGAAGGGTGGCAGGTGGGCTCATCTGGAGTGAGACTTAAGGTTGGGAGATGAGATGGACACCTGCTGCAGAAACCTGGGAAGTATTGACAAACTAAGAAAGGGGTGAAAATGAGCAGAGGTGGAATTAGTGTATTTCCAGAGTAGAAGTGGATTTTGGTAAATCCCACTTTCAGGGGTTTCATTTGTCACTACAGGGAGGATGGGGAGAGCAGTGGATGCTGGGAGGATGAAATATGTGTGTAGACAGTGAGTTCAGCTTGGAAAGTGCTGAATTTTCCTTGCACAAGGAACCCCCAAGTGGAGTTAACCAGTAGGTGATTCCTTAGCTAGGGGGATTGCGATGG